AGATACAGTGTTGAAGAAGATTATGAGTTTGTAAAAAAATGTTTAAATCTACTAGAATTTTGAGTATTTGAATCATTGTTTCTTGAAATTGAAAACTTTTAAAGATAACTATCACATTCACTTGCAGTGCAAAAGATTATATGATTATTTGTCTTTTTTACTTTCTCGTATACAGAGTATAGAGAAAGTATTGTAATCGTGCAGAAAAAAAATCGTGATATTTGCAAATCTCGACTTTTTACACCTCCCTGAGTCGGAAAAACATAGTTTTGCAATATTGTCCGTACGTCTCTGTGTCTGTGAACACGATAACTTGATTACCTTTACAGTTAGGTTGATGAAATTTCATATATAAGTATTATATCAAATTTGTAGTTCTGTATCAACTTTTCAGCGATTTCCGGTAACCGGAAGTGGCACTTATTTCATTTTCAATATCCTATAACTTGAGTACTGTTTCAGATAGATAAATGAAACTTCACATGTAAATAAAAGATCTAATTATTTGCCTTTTGTCAAATTTTGAGTAATTTCCGTTGACCGGAAGTAGTAATTTTCGCTATTTCCGATTTCTAAACAAACTCATGTGAATTTATTAAGTACTAATAATATTCCGCACTATTATACACAGATTTTTTTGGCGTTCACTTAGTGCGCAATTCTTTTTTTTCTACGAGATTATATTTTATTTAAAAAACTTGAAGTAATTTAAAAGGATTAAAAATCATGTCTATATCCCGAGTTGCCATCCCCCGTAGAGTTAAATAAGAATATTCGAGAAAGTGAGTAATTATATTCAAGATAGTTTACAGATACATTTAAAACATGGGTCAAAACAATTCACCACTGACAAGAAGAAAGTGCTAAAATATCTCTGGTAAAGCATGAAATAAATCGTAGTTTTTAGGCTACTTAGTAATGCTCAAAAGGAGACTTGACATAGCATAGAATAAGCGTATTTACTTCAGAAACTTTAGCAGTAGCAGACTCACAATAACAAGACAAACATTCTGATAAATACTGACAATAGAAATTAGCGCTTAACTTTGTTAGCACACAGAATTCTACCGAGAATTCAAACCAATAGGAAGATCAATTAACAACCATATTTATGTGCTCGAAGTATTTTTTGTCAACCTATGCCTGCTAACACCGTGGTGCGGAGTGTTGTAAATCCTCACGGTGCTAAGATGTTATCGTTTCCAACATTATGTGCAGTCATGTCAGATATCTGTCTCAAGTTTCCAATGTTTGTTAAGTTTCGCCACTACGGGCCAATCCCAAATTTTACACAGTACAAGGGCATTGAATTAAACTTTCCTTTATAACTTCCAGCATAAAATAATAATTCACTGTCATACAAATCAATTAAATTATATAGTAACATAGAGCTAACAGTATTCAAGTTCTTGCATTAATTGCATTTAATCCCCCCCCCCCCCCCCCCATCACACACACCAATACAACCTAATTATAAGATATAACACAAATGCAGTATAGCAAGATTTTATTTACAAGGTGGACACTTTACACATTTGTAATAGCTGAATACAACAACATTTTAAGCATTTCATGTTTATCTTTTATTAAAATAATGTAAACTAAACCAGTTAACCCAGTTAAAAAAAAAGAAAACAATTTCTCTCTGTCCTTTCTGTTACTTTAAAAATTTTGTTAACTGATAACTAGGTTCTACACGAAAGTAAAATCAAATGAACCACAAAAGCATCCAATCCCAGGAAAATTATTCAGTTTTTGATGAAATGATAATTGATAATGTACAGTGTGGGAGGTGACGAGGCATACATGGTTATTGGTAGTAGAGCTCCAAATTCATTCCATCATGAATTTCATCTGAATTAAATTGTTAAGATTTATAAAAAAAATCTAGGGTCCATAACTACAAATAAAGCTGGCAATTTTTAAAATCAATCTCTCTTGTAATAGTAGTAAAATGAATATTTCTAACTTAAAAACCAAGGCTACATGGATGATCCACGACTAAAAAAAACTTTGGGTCTCTTTAAGTCAAACATTTTACTGCTAAAGCTTAGACCTGTATGGGAAGTTCTCTTCCCTTTCTTCTGGCAAGGTACCCAGTACAGGATATTAGATTCAAACTGATTATAACACTTGTCATTCAGTTAGAGCTAGGGAATCAACAATTGTTGAAGATGCTAAACTATGTTTAAAACTAATGGTTAGCACCTGCCACTACACAATGCAGCCTACTGCAGTTTTCTTACAAAAGGATACAATCTCCCAGAGTAACGTGGTCTTTGAATATTGTGTACCTGAAACACAAAACAATCATTTAGCATAAAAAATAGACACTAAGCTGAATAAAGAATGGATCACAACCAAATACCTGAATGCTACTCTATATAAATCAGGGTCTGTAAAAAAACATTAAATTTACCTTGTAAAATTAGATAATTGCTTTAATATTTTTCTACTAAAATAAAAATAATTTATTTAGAATGTGTTATTTGGGAGGTATAGAATAAAAATAACTGCTCATATTACGTAGTGATGTAGCTCTTGAGTAGCCCACCTCTGTTTACAAACCAGAACAACATTGTTTGCATACTATCAAACATTGTCATTGTTATCATATAAATGAAAGAGGAACACACCATTTCTTTAATACTATTTTGTCAGCTCTGGTGCCAGTTTGTGCAGCTATCAACTTCTTCAAGTCTCCTATGGTGTCATCTTCACTTAATAATGTTAAGGAAAATGCAATAAACAGCAAAAAATGTAGTTTCCTGAAGATAAACAGCTTTAAATGATGTATCATTCTATCTGTAGTAAATCTTGTGGAGCATCTTTTGCAACAAATTTTAAAACAGGGCTATTGATATTTGTTCTGTAACTTTTTGTTTTAAAGTTACCAAAAAGGATACTTGCACTTCACCCGCACTTTCTTGCCGAGACGATCATTACAAGTAATTTCTAGCATTTCTTGACAATCTGTCACAGCTTTTCCTTCCAAGTTAATTTATTACCTGAATATTATATGACCATCAAGTTAAAATCATATTTAACATTAATATAGATATTAAAAATGGTGATCTCTAGTACAAGAGGTAATCTCACTGTAGAGCGTGGAAAATATTCTGTAAGTATACTGTGATATATTAGTCTCAAATATTAGGCCTATAGATAACTGAATAATAAACCTAAATCAATGGCTAAATATATCAATATAGGCCAGAAATTAACTTTAAACAGAAGTGTTTGCGAGCAGGATTTGGTATATAAAAAGCGGCCATCTGTAAGTTAGAGTGGCTTCCCCTGAATCTTGCACTATAAGTTTACAATAAAAAAAATAAACAAGATGGCTGCTATAGTAAATGAGCATGGTTGCATCTGTTGGAAACATTGCTAATCTTAGTCTTCATTTATTACTGAAAAGTTTTAATTCAATTGTTTAAAAACAGGTACATGAAACAAGGAAACATTTTCATTTTGGGTAATCTATCGTTTTAGGTACGTAAAATCGCCCGCGACTTGTAATGTGAAAAACAGGTGACTCCTTAAATTTTAATAATTATTTCACATTTTGAGGAGGATTTATGTTTTTTAAAATACAAAAATGTTTCCTTGTTTTATTTATGTACCTGTTTTTAAACAATTGAATTAAAATTTTTCCGTAATAAATGAAGACTAACGATGTTTCCAACAGATGCAACCATGCTCATTTACTATAGCAGCCATCTTGTTTAAGTTTTATTTTTATAAGCTTATAGCGCGAGATTCAGGCGGAAGCCACTCTATTTTACAAATGGCTGCTGTTTATATAGCATTTCTTGCTCTCAGACACTGCTGTTTAAAGTTAATTTCTGGCCTATATCGATATATTTAGCAATTGATTTAGGTTTATTATTCATTTATCTATAATATTTGACACAAACATATGACATTAATTCTATTAAAGCCTTGACAATGAGGTAACGTTTTCGTACATTAATAGCCGCGGGCGATTTTATGTACCCAAAACGATAGATTACCCATTTTTGTATTTTCCAAAACATAAATCCTCCTGAAAATGTGAAATAATTATTAAAATTTAAGGAGTCACCTGTTTTTCACATTAGGCCTACTAGTCGCGGGCGATTTTACGTACCTAAAACGATAGATTACCCTCATGATTATTATTGATTATAGTACTTTTATTGGTATTGTAAGTAATAGCCTAAGTATCTATTAAGTATTGTATTGGTGGGGGGGGGGTAACTAATTAATTTCAATTAATTTGCTGTATCTATGTTAGTGCCAAGAGTAGAGTATTACTATTAATCTATTAATGTGGGATTGCAGATAGACAGTCATTTATTAGATCTAGAATTAAAATGTAATACATTCAACCTGTTAAGTTTATTTTACACTTGTATGTCGGTCTTCTGTTTTCAATGGCTAGACTATTTGCTTTACAATATAATCAGAGTGAAGTCCCCTATTGATAAATAAAAAACTATAACTTAGTTAGTTTCATCAAAAACATTCCTTTATTATTAAAATCAACTAATATTTTATATTTTTTTATATTCGAAATATTTAATATAGGCCCTATATAATATTTAGAATTGGCGTTTACTATTAAGATAATTATCTTGTGATCAAACTACACCTACATTTTATTTCTAGATCTAATGCTTTTCACCGTGGTGGGATTTTTTAAAATCATCAAATTTTCATTTTCAAGCTTAAGCAGAAGTCTTACTGCTTACTCTTAAGGAGCATTGTAAATAAATAAAAGTTCCATTTTATTTTAATATTGCAAAAAAAATCCAATGAATATTAGATTTACACACTTTATTTTTTTTTTAAGGTTTCTTTCCACTTAATGATTTGTGACTTTGCAAACAAAATGCTTTGTTTCCTTATCTCTCATTGTTTTCATTAGAGATAGAGAAAGAAACGAAACGAAGAATTTATAATAATAAATTATGTCCATTGTTCTTTTTTACGAAGTAGATCTAGATCTAGATCTAGTATTCAAAGATCTGAATTACTTTTTGTTTGAATGACCTGTATCCTAAAAGTAAAACTGGTAATATGGAATAAATGTGATGCTTAAGGCTCAATTTAATTTATTTAACTTAGTTAATAATAGTTAAGCCTACGGAATAGGCCTACTGCCTACTACATTTTCTAAAATTACGACTAAAATACGAATGAGTCCAAGTGTCAAGTAACAAGTTGAAGTTGCCACAATTAAATTTTATTATGAAAATATTATGTTAATCTAATCTACTAAGTTAACTACTACTACAGTAGGACTACTAATTATGATTAGGCCTATACTTCAGTTGATACTATTATTATCCTATGTAGTAGTAGTATGTAGTAGATCTAGTAGTACTCTACTACTACTAACAATTGTCACTTTCACTTAACTTACTCTATTTATTATTATTAGGCTACATATTGTTATTATTAGGACACTACTAATAGTAATAGTCTCCAACAGCCTTCAGTTAAAACTTTTATTTCCTCATTTTAAATTATCATTTATGAATGATACTATTTATTAATTTTTAATCAGTTGAGGCTGGGAAACAAGCATCAGAATGACTACAGGTGTCAAATATGTACTATACTACAGTTCAGTAAAGTAGTAACTTAACTGAAATGATAGCTACTAAATAACTAGTGGCATTGGAACTCAATACACAAGACTGAAATATCTTGATTGTTTAGCAGACAAGCCCATGATTGAATTCCAAATCTAAGCAGCTATGCATTAGAAATAAACAAACAACTTATGATGTTCATCATGAAAATCAGCCTCCTCTTGATCCTGTTGCTGCCATCTTCTGGAGATGGACAGACACTGTATAAACAGAAGACACTTACTATAGGGGGTATTTTTCCAATGTCTGGAAGCTGGGCTGGGGGAGTAGGCTGTCTGCCAGCCGTCAAGATGGCGTTGGATGACGTCAACAATCGAACAGACATTTTACCAGAATACAAACTAGAGATGCAATCAGATGATAGTCAGGTAATACTTATCTTTACGTGCTACTGTTGTTTACCTGCCATCTTGTTAAAGTTTGGTCCGTAATTAAATAGCCCTTAGAATGTCTAGAGTGTAGGCTTATGTGTCTATATTAGAGAGAATATAGAAGACGTTAAGATGGATAGGCTTTATTATTAGCTTAAATTTAAACACCATATAAAATTCACTGTATTTTGGGGTATTTGAACTAAACCTAATCTTTTAAAGTAGGCCTGCCTTTATGTTTTTGGCGTTACATGAATTTATAAATTATACTTTAATTATCACATTCTGTTATGTGAAGTGCAAGCCAGGCCTAGGAACTAAAGTCCTGTACAAGCTATTGTATGACAAGCCAACAAAGCTTTTGGTACTGACTGGCTGCAGCATTGTCTCTACTTTTGTTGCTCAAGCAGCTAAGATGTGGAAGTTGGTTGTGGTGAGTCTCTAGTAAATCTTGTACAAGTGCTGGTAGTGCTATACACTGTTGGATCAGGGTATTTTTTCTGTCTGTATCATTATTAAATGGGATGGATTGGCCAAGTGATAGAGAGCTAGACTTGATTGTCTTGAGTTCAAATCCAGGTTAGGATAAAGATATGAATGAACAATAATAAGTTCAATGCACCTTATGAACATTTTTACAAGTACTATCTTGATTGGTTTGTTTTCTGGAGAACTATGATACTATAAGCATTCTCAGTTTCACTGAGATAACTTGCAAGAGAACAAAACATAACATCAACTTTGTCAAGTCAATAGTGTTACTGGTTTGTTGTAGGTTAGATTAGAATAGGTGAGAATAGTCTAGAACATAAGGGAGAGGCATGTGTAAGTTAAGTTTACCCGGGGGGTGTTAATGTATTGTTATTCCAAGGTCGAGTGTGGGTATAAAAGCTGGAGTGAACAATTGTAAGCTGCTGGTTGGTAGCAGCTAGGGTCGAGAGCTTGTGGTGTAATGGTGTGAAAAGGACAAAATAAAGGATTGAAAAGGACCTATTTTAGTGTATGGAGTTGAATGGAAGATCGATCGTAACAAATAGCATTTCAGCTGTCGCAGATGTTATCTAACTTGTTGTCATTAAAACAATATTATTACATTGCATGCTAGCTCAACAAAAAATTAGTTTAAAAGTGAACACTCAGACTACAACATTACTGCAGTCAAACATTTGGTGTTAAAGATTTTGTTTACAAAACATTCAAATTTTTCTTTTGTTCTTGTCAGCTGTCATATGGTGGTAGCTCACCAGCTCTCTCAAACAGAGAAAGGTTCCCCACTTTCTTCCGCACACATCCATCCGCCACTCTTCATAACCCAATCAGGGTTAAAGTTTTTAAACAGTTTGGTTGGAAGAGGATATCCACTATACAGGAAACACAAGAACTCTTTACTTCTGTAAGTTTTCAATCTTGTATTGTTTATTTAACAGTTTTCATCTTAAAATAATTATTTTTTGTTTTTTTTTTGTTTTTCATTTTAGAAATTATTTTTTTTGGAGTCTAACCCACCCCATTATTTTAAACCATTCAAATCTGTATACATTTTTAAAGTTATAGTTGTATCAAAATAAAATAAAAATATTTTGACCAGTTTGTATTAATAAACAATTTTAATGTTTTTTTAAATGGATTTATGTAAACATTCTTCTCAATTCCGACACAGACTATAGAAGACCTGGAAGAGAAAGTGAAAAGTGCTGGCATTGACATTGCTGTAAGGCAGAGCTTCCTCACTGATCCAACTAATGCTGTCAGAAACCTAAAGGTGATCATAATTAAGTCTAATTAAAAAAATACTTTTAATTAATTTTTAAATTTCTTCACTGCTTGGTTAGTGTATAGCATATAATATGTTTGGGTGTTTAAATAATTTTTTCTATGCTTATTGACAGCGCCAAGATGCTCGCATCATTGTAGGTGTTTTTTATGAAGATATGGCAAGACGAGTATTTTGTCAGGTATTTTTCTAGAAATTATTAAGTCACTTGCATAAAAACAGGATTCTATTTTAAAATGTTAAATAATTTTACCCTTCATTTAAGTACACTTTTCGCAAAAAATAAATTGTTACATAAATACTTTAAAAAAAAAGAACTAAATTAAAATTATTTCTAACAATTATCTCTGAACTCTTCAAAATAATCTTTCTTGAAGGCATACAAAGAGAAGCTGTATGGAAAGAAGTATGTGTGGTTTATAATTGGGTGGTACCCAGACAACTGGTACAAGGTCAAGGATGACAGGCACAACTGTACTGTAGAGCAGCTGGAGGAAGCTCTTGAGGGCCACTTCACCACTGAGGCTGTGATGATTCATCAGGAGCCCACCATGACGGATGTGGGGATGGTAGGTCTGGTTTAAAACATGGGGATGGTATGTTTGGTTAAACTCATGGGGATGGTAGGTCTGGATTAAAACATGGGGATGGTATGTTTGGTTAAACACATGGGGATGGTATGTTTGGTTGAACTCAAGGTGATGGTATGTTTGGTTGAACTCATGGGGATGGTATGTTTGGTTGAACTCATGGGGATGGTATGTTTGGTTAAACTGATGGGGATGGTATGTTTGGTTGAACTCATGGAGATGGTATGTTTGGTTAAACTTATGGGGATGGTATGTTTAGTTAAACTCATGTCAATGGTATGTTTGGTTAAACTCATGGCAATGGTATGTTTGGTTAAACTGATGGGATGGTATGTTTGGTTAAACTCATGGGGATGGTATGTTTGGGTTAAACTCATGGGGATGGTAGTTCTGGCTAAACTCACAGTTGAAAATGATATTTGAAATATTCTTCAAGATAAGATTACTTTTGAAACATATGGGGTTGGTAATTTTTAAAATGGATGTGGAATGTATCCTATAGATGATGATGTTGGTAACCAAAGGGGTTATTACCTGTGACAAAAGTTAATTAAAGTAAGTTTTAACTGTTTTGCCATTAGTTTAATCTGACAAATTATTCATGGCTTTAGACTGCGCAACAGTTTACAGAGAGATTGAACAAGATCCTCAACACAACAGACACCAGTCTTATCACTGGGTACCCCGAGGCCCCCCTGGCTTACGATGCTGTATGGGCAGTGGCGCATGCCTTTAACAAGACGGCCACGCAGTAATGGTTTTTATTAGAGATTTTAGAATTTACGTTATCTATAGTTGACTATAATTATAGAGATATTGTGAAAATATTATAAGTTATATATTTAAAAAATGTAGACTTAAGAAGAATTTCATAGGTTTTTCAAAATTGTTAAATTTTGTAACTCTGTGTTTTCCATATATAAAAGTGTGTTATTTTAACATAATATAGTTGTAATATTTTCCCTTGTTGAAGTAATGATATGGAATTTATTTATTTTTTATTATGTGTATTATTACTATGTTTATTATATTTATTATGTTTATGTGTATTAAAACATTTCAATAGTTACAAGTAACGTGTAAAATTTAATTTAAAGGCTTGCAGAAAGGGGAATGAAGCTTGAAGATTTTGACTACTACAATGAAGATATAACAAATGCTATCTACAACGCCATGAACTCAACCAAGTTCCTAGGGATCTCTGGCAATGTGGCCTTCTCTGCTAAAGGGGACAGAATAGCCTGGACACAAATAGAGCAGTTTATCAGTGAGTTTATCACACTATTTTAGTCATTGTAGCCCACTATTTTAGTCATTGTATCCCACTATTTTAGTCATTGTAGCAACTCGTGCTAAAGAAAATTCTTAAAGGAAATGGCAACTCATTCAAATGTTAATTCTATGTATTCTAAAACTTAATATGAGACAAAAAAAATTTTTTAAAAGAAAAAAGACAATGTTTGTGTTGTTTCAAGTTGTTTGTGTCTCAAATTGGGAGTGTACGATGTATGTGTTTTTTGTTTCAGATGGGTCCTATGTCAAACTGGGAGTAAATGATGTATATGTTTCTTGTTTCAGATGGGTCCTATGTCAAACTTGGAGTGTACGATGTATGTGTTTCTTGTTTCAGATGGGTCCTATGTCAAACTGGGAGTAAATGATGTATATGTTTCTTGTTTCAGATGGGTCCTATGTCAAACTTGGAGTGTACGATGTATGTGTTTCTTGTTTCAGATGGGTCCTATGTCAAACTGGGAGTAAATGATGTATATGTTTCTTGTTTCAGATGGGTCCTATGTTAAACTTGGAGTGTACGATGTATGTGTTTCTTGTTTCAGATGGGTCCTATGTCAAACTGGGAGTAAATGATGTATATGTTTCTTGTTTCAGATGGGTCCTATGTCAAACTTGGAGTGTACGATGCTGTGGCTGACAACCTTACGTGGTACAGAAAAGAAAAATGGCTAGGTATTTATAGTTGCTCATCTCTGTAGTTTTGTAGATTATAGTTACTCAAAGTAATCGCCATTCAAATAGTTAGTAAGGGTCAGAGTCAAAGGCCTTAATGACCAATGATAAGTTGACATTGTATAATTAATTGTGTTGGAGAAAAACTCTTTCATCATTACATTTAAGAACAAAGAAATAAGGGTTCAATTATTTTAAAACTATTTTTATCTCCCCTCCTCCTGATCTTCACTCAACACCACAAATAGCCACTCCCCCCAAATATTGTTACAGCTTGGCTTATTTGCCCCCTCAATATGGCAATTTTTTTTAAAAATATTGACAAAAGTCTGTAAATTGAAAATGCAAAATAATAGCAAAAATTCGGATTATAAGATTATGTCTTTAAAAACAAGAGTGTTATCACACATTTGAAAATTGATTGAAAGCAGATGTATTTTTTATATATGTACTGGTTTACTAAACACAATTTTTTTAGGTGGCCGCCCCCCACCTGACCACACCCAAGTACTGGATGATTTGAGAGTAGTCTCCCATACCCTGTACTTCTCTATGTGTGGTTTGGCTGGTGTAGGCATCCTGGCAGGAATCTTGTGCCTGATATTTAATCACACCAACAGGAACAGGCAGTAGGTTCCATCTTTTACATCTTCAGCTTTGGTTACTCATTTAATTAAATTAATGTGGATGATAATTATCTTAGCTAATCTATTCAGTGTAATCTGTCTTTTTAATTTATTAAATTAAAGGTAAATTTAAATTTAATTGTAAAATGTATATATATATATATATATATATATATATATATATATATATATATATATATATATATATATATATATATATATAATATGTATGGTGGTATCCTTGATTATTTTGAACTTGACTGAGAACTTTGTGTGTAGGTGTGTGGCGTTCTCCCAGCCTGCAATAAACAACCTAACAGTTGTTGGGTGCATGATCTGCCTGGGTTGTATCATTTTACTTGGTCTGGATGGCAAGTTTGTACCTGCCCACACCTACCCTGTTGTGTGCCAGGTTAGTTCCTTGATGCAAGGGCAAAACAGGAATTTTTGTTTTCACTACAGTTGTTTATGTTTAGCTGTATTGGTTCATCATCTTTTCCTGTTCGTGCCAAACACACATGGGGCAGATGGTGTAGAGTTCATCTGTTTCAGAGAGCTCAGCATATGAAGGGATAATGTGATTAGCACTATGCACAGCCACCTTTGCTTTCCCTAACCTGAGTTAGGTACCCATCAGAGCTTGGTGGACTCAGAGGCGTTCTACTGACTTGAAAATGGATTCGAACTCGAGGCTCTCGGGTTAGCAGTCTAGCTCTCTACTGCTAAGCCACGCTGTCCCATTGATTAATGTATTGATAAATAACATCTAACTTTAAGTTGAGTACTTGACTGTACTTAGGGCAGAATGAGGGTTTATCTGGGTTTTTTTTTTACCTTGGTATTTAAAAGATTATGTGGTTAGGAATATACCTTTCGACCTTCACTTTCTGTGAGAGGAGGTAACATTCAGAGCAGGGTGGACCCTGGGATTTGATACATACTTGAATATTTGGTTACGGTTAAGGTAGTAGCCGTTTGCAATGCAATGTAACTCTTTTTGTAGCTGAGGGGTTTTCCTTGCTCACTTTGTCAGCATTTGTCCGTCTTTTTAAGGTGCGGGCCTGGTTGTTGTCTATTGGGTTCACACTCAGCTATGGATCCATGTTTTCCAAAATTTGGACTGTCCATCAGATGACCACAACTCGCAAAAAAGAGAGGACAGTAAGTCTTGGATGTGATTTCTTTTGTTAACTTTGATCGTTTGGTAAGGTTAAACTTTTTAATTAATTAATTTTATAACTTAGAAGATGTTCTGTAAATACTAGGAAATTGTATTAATTTAAACAATTTATTCTGTTTTATTAAAATTCATGTTTAAATAGAGATAATTTTAAGCAAGACATGTAGACTGTTCTTATATAGAAACTGTTACTAAAAATTCAAGTTTAGGTAATTTTTTTGTTTTACACAAGATATTTTCTGTTTACACATGAACTTGAAAGCCCCAGATTTTTAAAAAATACAGCTTAAAATTATAATTTTTGAATACAATTTTTTTTTGTACTCAGGGTGTCCAGATTTGGGAGCTGTTTACCGTCCTGGCAATTTTGGTTCTGCTGGATGTGGGTGTGCTGACAGCCTGGCAAGTCTTGGACCCCCTGCAGCGAAGGCTGGAAACGTTTGCCAGAATTCAACCCGTCAACTCTGAGGAGGACATTGAACTCCGACCCCAGCTTGAACACTGTCACTCTGAAAACCTGAACATTTGGTTGGGTAAGTTGGTCATTTTATACCTTCAGCTCACTCTGTTTAGTTGGTCATTGTACATTTGCTCCTGCGTTGTGATTTGTTGATCAGTTAATATCTAGCACTGACTCAGTCTTTATATTGTATTACTATCAGACTGTGTTGCTTGATAAAGATCATGTTTCTTGCTTTAAAAATATGATCTATATTTTACTAATTTAAAAAAGTTTGATTTCTATTGTATGCTTTAATTTTACTGATTTTACTTTGATGAATTTTTTTCAACAATTTTACTAATTATGTAAGCCTTATGTGTAGCAAATAATACTGCATGTACAAAGTGTTTATTTCCAAAATATCATGACCGCCATATTTATATCCAAGTAAACTTTACAGCACATCCATTAAAGAACTTTTAAAATGTTCTCAATACTGCTTGCACTTGACATTGCTCAATTATTTGAAGCAGTACAACGTTAATAAAAACAAAAAAATCTTGCCGTTTGTTGCAAGTTTGAATCTGGAAGTCACATAATTAAAGTAATTATGACCAGGACTGAGCTTAGTTTAAGTATTGATGGAACCTCGACTCACCTATATCAGCTACACACCTGGAAAGTTCTATAATGCAAAAAGTTCTATAACTTAACTGACACTCTCTGCCAGGTGTTCTGTTTGGATACAAAGGGATCCTGCTCATTTTTGGCATTTTCCTGGCATATGAGACCCGCAGTGTGAAGCTGAAGCAGGTCAATGACTCCAGGTTTGTGGGCATGAGCATCTACAATGTGGTGGTGAGTATCCAAAGGTCAGGGGTCAACTTGTTTAGAATTTACTATCGTCAAAGTAGTTTTATGTAGTTTAGTGTTTTCAAAAAGTGGCTTATCTTAGCAGTGGTAGGAAATAAAAGTCAATTGAAAACTAAGTTCAGACGAAAAAAACATGTGGAAAATCACTTGTGGCTCAATCATTGTTTACAAGAATGTCTCAATATTTATTTTAAAAAAAAAAATTGTTTCGTACTTTTGTTTTTTATAACCTTAGGTTTGTGTCAATAGGGCTGTAATTTGTTCCATATCAAATTAAATTAGTAGCAAACTGAGTGACGAAAGTAAATGTTTCTTTGAATCTTGTATTGCTTATAAAAATATTTTTTTTGTATATATTATTTTTTTTATTTTATTGAAAGACCCCAGGTTTAAATGTAATTTTGTTTTTTACAACCTCAGGTTTTGTGCGTCATCACGGCTCCGATTTCTCTCATCATTGGCAACCAGGAAGACGCCACATTTGCTTTTGTGTCCCTGGCCATAATCCTCTGCAGTTTTCTGTCCATGGGACTCATCTTTGTTCCCAAGGTAAACACAGTTGCCATGTAGCGTGGCCACACCCTCCATTGAAACACTCAGGTGTCATATACCTTAGCCACAACCTCCATTGAAACACTCAGGTGTCATATAGCCTGGCCACACCCTCCATTGAAACACTCAGGTGTCATATACCTTAGCCACACCCTCCATTGAAACACTCAGGTGTCATGTAGCGTGGCCACACCCTCCACTGAAATACTCAGGTGTCATATACTTTGGCCACATCCTCCATTGAAATACTCAGGTGTCATATAGCCTGGCCACACCCTCCATTGAAACATTTTTTACATGACTCTAATATAGCACTAATACACATTTTTAAAAAATTTCTAGCTGAAGGAAATAATCCAGCACCCCCAGCGAGATGGTCAAGAGGTCAAGAGTCTGACTGACTCACTGGTCAGCAGGGAGGAGGAGGAGCGTCACCAGAAGCTGCTGGGGGAGAATGAGCACCTGAAGAAACAGATTGCTGAGGTGAGGCTTGATGTTTCAGTTGGATTTTGTAACTCTCTGTTTCATGAGAATTAGTGACTTACTGTTTCAAGAGAATTAGTGACTCACTGTTTCATGAGAATTAGTGACTCACTGTTTCATAAGAATTAGTGACTTACTGTTTTATGAGAATTAGAGACTCACTGTTTTATGAGAATTAGTGACTCACTGTTTTATGAGAATTAGTGACTCACTGTTTTATGACAATTAGTGACTCACTGTTTCATGAGAATTAGTGACTCACTGTTTTATGAGAATTAGTGACTCTGTTTCATAAGAATTAGTGACTCAATGTTTCATGAGAATTAATGACTCACTGTTTTATGAGAATTAGTGACTCTCTGTTTCATGAGAATTAGTGACTCTGTTTCATAAGAATTAGTGACTCACTGTTTTATGAGAATTAGTGACTCACTGTTTCATGAGAATTAGTGACTCTCTGTTTATGAGAATTAGTGACTCTGTTTCATAAGAATTAGTGACTCAATGTTTCATGAGAATTAGTGACTCACTGTTTTATGAGAATTAGTTACTCTCTGTTTCATGAGAATTAGTGACTCTGTTTCATGAGAATTAGTGACTCTGTTTCATAAGAATTAGTGACTCACTGTTTTATGAGAATTAGTGACTCACTGTTTCATGAGAATTAGTGACTTTCTGTTTTATGAGAATTAGTGACTCTGTTTCATAAGAATTAGTGACTCAATGTTTCATGAGAATTAGTGACTCACAGTTTTATGAGTATTAGTGACTCTCTGTTTCATGAGAATTAGTGACTCTGTTTCATAAGAATTAGTGACTCAATGTTTCATGAGAATTAGTGACTCACTGTTTTATGAGAATTAGTGACTCTCTGTTTCATGAGAATTAGTGACTCTGTTTCATAAGAATTAGTGACTCACTGTTTCATGAGAATTGGTGACTCACTGTTTCATGAGAATTAGTGACTCACTGTTTCATGAGAATTAGTGACTCACTGTTTTATGAGAATTAGTGACTCACTGTTTCATGAGAATTAGTGACTCACTGTTTCATGAGAATTAGTGACTCACTGTTTTATGAGAATTAGTGACTCACCATTTCAATCTCCTAAATCATTTTCTGTGAGTTTTCAGTGGGTAATGAAAATTTTAACTTTATACTTTCTTATATATTGTGGAGGAACTGCTTAAATCATGACTTGAATCTCTCTTAGAACAAAATTATTTATTTTATTCAGCTTATGTCTTGTCCTCCATCTATGATTTTAAATATAACCGTTATGAAATTTGAAAGACCACAATATACCACATCACATAAAATCTATATTTAATTAGAACTAAAATCCCGTGTCATATTTAAAACCAACACTCTATTGACAGATGGAGGATCGCATCCGAGATCTGAACCAGAAGCTACAGGAGAGGGCCAGACAAAGGACCACAGGCAACAACGTCAACAAGGCTAACTCCAACAAGGTCGTCATCGTTGACCCACTTTTGGCTGACACCAGGGCCGAGTGTGACACGTCCAGGGACTCGGACCTGACCCCCCAGTCCTCCCCGGCCAGAGCTGAGGTCGTTGTGACCCACGATCTGATAGAGTCCAGTCCAGTCGTCGCTGATGCTAGTTCTTGTGCGGAGGAAGACAAAAATTTTTAGGTCATTTTAGCCCTAATTACCTAATTTTGACCCTAATCCTAACCCAGTGGTTGCTAATGCTAGCTTTAGTATGGAGGAAAATAAAATATTTTAAGTCTCTACTTTTAGCCCTAAACCCCAAATTTTGGCCCTAATCCTAACCCAGTGGCTGCTGATGTTAGGATTCTTATTTGGATTAAGACAAAAGTTTCTAATGCTAAATCAGCCCTGCCTGTGTTTCAAAACACTTTGCATTTAGTTTTAATGCATTTTTGTTTCGATCAACCCACTCCTCATTCCTGATATGAAATGGCATTCCTATGTTATAGAGATCATTTATTACGGCTTCAACTGAAATAAACTTATTTAAGCACATGAAAAAGCTAACGAGTTCAGTTAAAAAAAAAATCAGTGATCCACAAATAGTTAAATTCTATCTACGATTTTTATGTTAAAGAATATTTTATGATGATTGTATATTGGTTTTTAATTTTTTATTAATCATTGTTGTGTGTAGCAATGATGCAGTTATAATTCAAATAAATATATTTTAATGGTGTTTTGAATTTAAAAAAAACATCTTTTTTCTTCCTTATACAATTATGTTGTGTTCAATGTGAAACAATTGTCTACATATCTCCTTTTTACAGTATTATAATATGTGATATTCATTTGGGTGATATTTAAAAAGTTTATTTTAAAACAATAAAACTCCAGTATTTTATTTTATTGTTGTGGATAAGCAAATGTTGCTGGCAACATATTTCATCTAGTCATGCTAGAGATGAGCTTCACCATCTGTTTGAAGCCATCTCTACTTTTTAAACTGGACAGCGTACCTCAGACATAACAAACTGAATTGATTATTGTTTTGAAGGATATACTTTTTATTTCTTCATTGATGCATTTATTTTTTATTTTGTTTGTATATAATCAGCTGATGTATTTAATTTTTTTTTTTTACATGTGCTTTTTATTGTTACTTTAATTTAAAATACACTTAATAAATTACCACATTCCATGTTGGTATAACCACCCCAATCAACCTTAAAAATATTGTTAGTTGACTGCTAGCGACAAGCCAGTTATATATTTTAATCTTTATTGACAAGTTAAATAAATCAAGTGTTTAGTTAATACATACACAGAACATTGAATTCTTTCATGGTCTTATAGTATTGAAGAGTACTTATACGTTTTTATAGACTGAGATTTTACCGAGCTGAAATCCAGATAATGTAAATATCTATTTTATTTTTAATTTTAAATATACTTTTTTTTGTAAAAAATATTTTTTCAACTTAGAACACAGCAGTGATATCCATTTATAAATGATTTGTTGGTACAGTAAATTAGCGACCTTCTTTCTCGTATGTCAACTGTGACCAAATACTCTGGTTTTAGTTTAGCCTCAGTAATTGCTAAAAATGTTGTGATATTGTAGTTTTGTGATCAGTTTTACAGTTTGTGTAGACAATAAATTCATGTAAATGTTAGCTTGTGTTGCTGATTGACTTTCAAAAACTGTTGGATGTGTGTGTTGGCTGGAGAGTTGAGTTGTGATAGAGAGGGTGGAGTAGAGCTGTTATGTGGTAGTAGTTGGACACGGGTGTCTGCAAGACATGGTGTTGGTAGACCTCGGGATATGGTAGTGGTGTTGGCAAGGTGTTGGTGTTGGCAAGGTGTTGGCAAGGTGTTGGTGATGGTGTTGGCAAGATGTTGGTGATGGTGTTGGTGATGGTGTTGGCAAGGTGTTGGTGTTGGTGTTGGCAAGGTGTTGGTGATGGTGTTGGTGATGGTGTTGGCAAGGTGTTGGTGTTGGCAAGGTGTTGGTGATGGTGTTGGCAAGGTGTTGGTGATGGTGTTGGCAAGGTGTTGGTGATGGTGTTGGCAAGGTGTTGGTGATGGTGTTGGCAAGGTGTTGGTCATGGTGTTGGCAAGGTGTTGGTGTTGGCAAGGCGTTGGCGATGGTGTTGGCAAGGTGTTGGTGTTGGCAAGGTGTTGGTGTTGGCAAGGTGTTGGTGATGGTGTTCGCAAGGTGTTGGTGATGGTGTTGGCAAGGTGTTGGTGTTGGCAAGGTGTTGGTGTTGGCAAGGTGTTGGTGATGGTGTTGGCAAGGTGTTGGTGATGGTGTTGGCAAGGTGTTGGTGATGGTGTTGGCAAGGTGTTGGTGATGGTGTTGGCAAGGTGTTGGTGATGGTGTTGGCAAGGTGTTGGTGATGGTGTTGGCAAGGTGTTGGTGATGGTGTTGGCAAGGTGTTGGTGATGGTGATGGCAGGGTGTTGGTGATGGTGTTGGCAGGGCTGGGGTGATGGTGTTAGTGTTGGCAGGGCTGGGCTGGGGTGTCTGCAAGAGTCGAATGTTAGCATGACTGAGGTGTTGGTGTTGGGGCGGGTCTGGGGTGTTTCAATAAAATCACAATAAAATATATACAAAAAATCTTTTTAAATGCACTACATCATTCAAAGAAAAATACACCTTCGTCACACTATTCACTACTAACCCTTGCTGAAGTATGTTTAGTAATGAATTTTTGAAATCCTAACATAATAGATTTAACATTTCATAAAGTCAACTTAAATTTTGTAATTTAAAGTCACAGCTTTTGGATTATTGTTTCATCATCTGGACTACACAATGGTGTATGACAAGAAAGTGATCCTTTAAAACTGGCAGAGAGATTAATGCTCACTGATGCATCACCGATGCTCACTGACGTGATACGGATTAGCGTTCAATAAATGCTTGAAAATGCAAACAACATTGAATCACGTTTGAGTACACACTAATGACAAATTTAATTAGTAAAGGCTAATTAATCACGGCACTGGGTGTAATTATTTATCTTGTTAAACTGAATGTAAACAAAACTTCTTTGTACCGTCGACACCACGCTAAAATATCAACACATACTTATTTTTAATTGGCTAAAATTTAATTTCACAGCCAATTAGTTTACTTAAATTATTTAATTGCCTAAATTTTAATTTGTCTACAACAAATTAATCAATTTGACACTAATTGCGTAGTAAACTAAATTCTGAGGTCAATTAAGTACTACCTTTCTAATTATCAATGCCGTGTAATTGGTATAAATACAGACTATTTTTAGCAGTTCGATTTCAACGATTTTTTTTCGTTACATATAAAAAAAATTCCCCTTTAAGACAAAACGTATAGTCTTGCTGCTGACGAAAGTGTTTGAACCAGGGACTTGATAAAGTTTACAAAACAACGGTGATTTGGGACAGAATTATCGGTTAGTTTGTGAACTTAACAGACATTGTTTTATTGTAGATGGTATTGTTGATGTTGCTTATCAAATCCTAGATAAAGATCAATAGTAAGCCTTTGGAAGTTCTTAAGACATCTTATGAATTTCTTAAGACATCTTATAAGTTTTATTTAGTTCGCAAAGTCTGTTTGTTTGGTGGGTTCGTGGCAAGTCTTGTAACTCAATGTTGACCCACTTCTAATGCAGCCATTTCGTTCTAACTTCCCATATACGTTCTTATTCGACTACAATAAAACATATCTAATTTACAATAGAACAAGACATTAACTAGTCGATAAAATTTAATGAAAAAGATTACTAAATTCAATAAGGGGAGTTAACCGGCTAAACAAGAAGGGATGGATAACTGTTTTAGAGATAAGCTACTAGTCGGGTTTTACCGCTAATATTTTTAGTCGTAGACTGTGTAGTGCTCATTGAGAACAGTGATTCTTAACCTTTTTGGAGCGCTTCTAAATAGGAAAAATACAATATTTTTTTTTTCAAATTCAAAATATAGGTGTGTATTTTACTAGTGAACAAAATGTACCGTTCATCAACACTGTGTAAAAAGAAAAAATCTTTAAAAAATATGATTTTCACACAAAAACAAAATAATGAATATTTTCTGCCAATCAGTGTGACTTCTGTTGTTGCCTTTCAGACACCAGTTCAGAAATGCGCGGCTTCACCTTAAATTCAACGAGCATTATGTTCTTATATTTTCCATCTCCATGCAGCTTAAGGGGGCAGTATCACCCAAACTAAGGGAGGAAAACAAAAATATTCACACAAAAAAACTATTCGACATACATATATCAAAATTGCACAGCAGTAGTAATATTTCTTATGCTATAATACAGTATATAAATTGCAGGGTATATGTATAGCAACATATTTGCAAAAAATTATTTTGTTAATATTTTATTACATTTTGAATTTTTTTTGTAAACAATTTTCCGAAACCATAAGTAAAGTACTTAAAATTTGGTATAAACATTCCTGGCGATCGTCATAAGTACATTCATACAATTCTAATAAGAGATAAAGTTTTAGCAAATTTCTAAGTTAAACTTTTTTGGTCTGACCTTGAAAAATACTAAAAATTTCAAAATTTGTTTCAATGGATATCTTCTAGTTCCAGCGATAGGCTATCCCAGGGGTCGGCAAACTTTTGAAGCGGAAGAGCCAAAAGTTACAATTTTCAAAATTTCCCCGATTTTAAAGAGCCACTAACATTTTTTTAATTTCAAATATTTTAATTTTTTATTAAGATTAGTAGTATTTGTTCAAGGAGCCGCATCTTGATATCAAAAGAGCCGCATACGGCTCGCGAGCCGCAGGTTGCCGACCCCTGGGCTATCCTGTTATGCATCTCCCAGTGTATATTCAGCAGGAAGGGCCTAAATCAGGGGTCTCCAAACTTTTCAGCCCGAGGGCCGCATTAACTATCAAATATCAGTTCGGGGGCCAGAGTTTCTTTAAGGCATCTCTTCAGGGTCGTGGCGCCCCTCCCCCCCCCCCCCCCGCCGATGAATGTCTACCACCGCCCCCCCCCCAACGAAATATAATTTATATAGAAATATATACAAATTTCAAGTGTCCACCCCCCCCTCAAATTGTACTTCGCGTATTTCCTTCTTGAAAATGTTTGTTCACACAGCATGTTGTTCGAACATTTGAAAGGTACTTTGATGCAAATGTTAGGAAAGTCTTCCTTGTGCAAAAACGTACGAAAACCCATCCGCCCTTCTTTGAACGTGTCTCTAAGGAGGTCATTTTCTTGCAATTCAATGACCTCCAGCTGCAGTTCATCTTTGCAACTGGCCACATTTGCTTCAAATGGGCTTTGAAACAGTCTCACTTCTTCTGCCTTTGAATCCAAGTCAGAAAACCGCTTCTGAAACTGCAGCTGGAGGTCTTTGATGATCTCGTATCTAAATGACGTGGGGAACTCGGTGGTTGCTTCAGCCGTAAAGACCTTGCACTGCTGAAAGTGTGTCAAGTTGTTAGCCTGTATTTGCACAAAAAACATGGCAAGTTTGTATATCTAAAGGCCTTTAGGTGGGTGTATAGATCAGAAACTAGATTTCACTCTCTTGCCGTTTTAGGTTCAGAAAAATTAAATGACTAGTTATGTCTGCAGCAGAGGCCAATTTCTATACCCACTCTTCATCAGACAATAACGGCTGTGACTTGCTTTTACTATCAGGAAGTCACCTATTTATTTTCTTACTCTGCTCAGAATTTTCTCGCAAAAATCTTACTGATGTGAAATATGGTAATCTTGCTATTTTGTGTTTGTCTCTGAACTATCTATGGTCAGATATCCTCTTTGGTAACAGTGTCATACATTATATGTAGGGAAGCCAGCTTTTGTGTTATGTTCATGTCTTCATCCACACCTCTAATGAACACAAACAGAGAGGTGGAACAGCTGTCCAGCGACTCTTCCATTGAATTTTTTGCTATTTGAGTCGCAATGTTTTCACCAATGTCTGCAACACGGCGAGTGATTGTATTTGCACACAAAGCTACATTTCAAATAGTTTTGAATTTTCTGTGCAAAGCTCCTCAGCCACCTCCAACAAACATTTATTCAGTGGACAAAAAGATCGTCGCGGGCCGGATAAAATCATGCGGCCCGCGGGCCGTAGTTTGGAGACCCCTGGCCTAAATGTTGGAAAACCGCAGCCACAAATTACTTAGTAAAAAATTTTTGGTTAAATTATTTATAAAAAATGTTTGCATCATACGTTAAATTTCTTTTCTGTGCTGTTTTATAGCTCCTTATTAATTACTATTATGGTAAAAAAATTATGTGTGTATGTGTAATAGTTTTTTTTGCCAATTTTTTTCGTCAATTTTCAAATGTTTGGGTGATACTGCTTAGTATCGCTGGTGCTAGACTAGAAATGCTCAACTAGGCATTGCAAATTATGCAGATATGACGCTCATTCCCATCAATTTCCAACATACATATAAAATGAATACTGTACATATTCGTCGAAATCCTTTATTTTCTGCTGGACAGAGTTAGTATGAAGAAATTAAAATACTAAGTAATGCATCACACGGCGTACCAGCACGGCAATCACAGAATCACAGGACGACAACTGGGCCACGATATAGAAATAAAAATTATGTTCGTCACAGCGCGCATATACACGATCAACGCGCACCTGTATAGGTGGCGTTGACACGATTCTTGGCGTATGTGTGTTGTGATCAGTGGCGTAGGCAGGGGGGGGGGTGCAAATCGAAAGAGTTTGAGGGGGGGGTGGAAATCGAAAGTTTGACGGGGGGGGGGGGGGTGGAAATCGAAAGTTTGACGGGGGGGGGGGGGTGGAAATCGAAAGTTTGAGGGGGGTGGGGGTGCAAATCGAAAGTTTGTCCCCGGTAAAAATTGGAAACCCCCCCCCCCTTGAGACGATCCTGGCTACGCCACTGGTTGTGATGTCAAGGGTTCCGCGATATAGACATAACAAGATACAAATACCTGTATCTTTGGCATACTTTATTACTATGTCATGCTGTCGCGCTGTCGTATTAGAACTATGATGGGCCTCGGCTGACGAAATGGAATTGATATAGAAAACATAAACTTTAACCAGTGTGTCCCCCCACCCCCCGGAAAATGTAGTCCACCCCCCCCGCCCCCGAAAATATCAAGTGCCCCACGGGAAAAAAAAGTCTGAAAGAAACACTGGCGGCAGCTAGTTTTATAGCCCACACTGTCAAAATCCAACGGCAAATATGAGACAGTTTTGTGTGTCTTGACGTCAAAGACTGACTCACCGAACCTCTGGGGTTCAATCGAACCCAGGTTAAGAACCGCTGATTTAGAACGAATGGCTAAACAGTGGTCTGAAAATATGTAAGAGATCTCTTACCAAAGCTTTTTATAAAGAAAGGAAGTTTGTTTTATTTTCTGATTTTCAGTGCAACGACAAAAGCTAATTATTATAAATGTTTGATAATAATTTTACTTGAAACATTTAAATTAATCAAATAGAGGATTTGTAAGCCTCTCCACAGTGCATAAGTTTTAACATTTCATAGATAAAATGTGGTACATTATTATGCTTGAACAGGCCTATCATTTGAAACGTTGAAGATTTCTCTATTTAAAAAAAAACTAGATGGAATATTGAGCTCTTGAATAAAAAATGTCCCTAGGTGTAGCAATGGCGGCTGGTACGGATCAACTGACGACGGAAACAGATCCACCCGTCACTCTCCTGCTCCCGTCTGCTGCAGATGACGTCATAGACAACTTTGTGACCGAGGTCCTGTACACCGACATCATCAGCGAGGAAACGGCCCAGCTACTGCAGGTTATCCTCATCTGCGCATGCGCAGGCGCCGTCAGCCTTCTGGGAACGGCGGCTAATCTGGTCAACATTTACATATTTATGTTGCAGGTCAGTTCATTCAGTTGGTGCTGGTAACTTTTGTTGATGCTGCCAGAAGTTCTGTTTATACGTTGAAGGAACCTGAATGTAGGGGTAAGAGCTAGGGCTAGGATTAATGTCGAGTCCAAATTCGTTCCATTCCATGCTCAAACCTTAAATGGGAACGGTTTTTTTTTTGGGGGGGGGGGGGGGGGAGAAGTTTTATATTTTTATGACCAATGGCTGTGTCACCCCCCTCCCCCCACCACCCGTAGGTACTTCAAGTGGGTGAAGATTCAATGATTTTATGCCCAGGTACGTTTTTATTCGGAAGCCGTTTAGTTGATAATGCAAGACTATTTTTTTTTAAATGATTGGAATTGTGTGTTGAAGAAAATAAATCAGAATTTCGTTTCCTACTAAACAACAACGTAATTTGTCAAATTACCCAATTAAATAATTAATGACCATGATTTAAGTGTTTCATAACAATTTACCCGCATACTAATCCCTAGCTTTAGAGCGTATCAATAAAACATTAATCCCTAGTTTTGAACGTGTCACCACTATGCTAATATTTAACTTTTTATGTGTCACCATTATAGGCCTACTAATCTCTCGCTTTGAACGTGTCACCACTATGCTAATAAACTATGTATGTGTCACCACTATAAGCCAACTAATCTCTAATTTTGAACGTATCACCAATATGTCACCACTATGTCACCACTACTAATCTCTAGCTTTGAACGTATCACCACTATGTCACCACTACTAATCTCTAGCATTGAACGTGTCACCACTATGTCACCACTACTAATCTCTAGCTTTGAACATGTCACCACTATGTCACCACTATGTCACCACTATGTCACCACTATGTCACCACTATGTCACCACTATGTCACCACTATAACCCAACTAATCTCTAATTTTGACAGTGTCACCACTATGTCACCACTATGTCACCACTATGTCACCACTATGTCACCACTATGTCACCACTATAAGCCAACTAATCTCTAGCGTAGACCGTGTCACCACTATGTCACCACTATGTCACCACTATGTCACCACTATGTCACCACTATGTCACCACTATGTCACCACTATGTCACCACTATGTCACCACTATGTCACCACTAAAACCCAACTAATCTCTAATGTTGACCGTGTCCCCAGGGACTGAGCGACTCAGTGACCATCAGTCTACTGGGTCTGACACTCTAATTTTAAACGTGTCACCACTATGTCACCACTATGTCACCACTATGTCACCACTATAAAACCCAACTAATCACTAATTTTGAACGTGTCACCACTATGTCACCACTATGTCACCACTATGTCACCACTACTAATCTCTAGCTCTGACCGTGTCACCAGGGCCTGAACGACTCAGTGACCATCAGTCTACTGGGTCTGACCATCTAATTTTGAACGTGTCACCACTATGTCACCACTATGTCGCCACTATGTCACCACTATGTCACCACTATGTCACCACTATGTCACCACTATGTCACCACTATGTCACCACTATGTCACCACTATGTCCCCAGGGACTGAGCGACTCAGTGACCATCAGTCTACTCGGTCTGACAATCTAATTTTGAACGTGTCACCACTATGTCACCACTATGTCACCACTATGTCACCACAACTAATCTCTAATGTTGACCGTGTCACCAGGGCCCGAACGACTCAGTGACCATCAGTCTACTGGGTCTGACCATCTAATTTTAAACGTGCCACCACTATGTCACCACTATATCACCACTATGTCACCACTATGTCACCACTATGTCACCACTATGTCACCACTATGTCACCACTATGTCACCACTATAACTCAACTAATCTCTTACTGTTGACCGTGTCACCACTATGTCACCACTATGTCACCACTATGTCACCACTATGTCACCACTATGTCACCACTATGTCACCACTACTAATCTCTTACTGTTGACCGTGTCACTAGGGACTGAACGACTCAGTGACCATCAGTCTACTGGGTCTGACCATCTAATTTTAAACGTGTCACCACTATGTCACCACTATGTCACCACTATGTCACCACTATGTCACCACTATGTCACCACTATGTCACCACTATGTCACCACTATGTCACCACTATAACCCAACTAATCTGTAACGTTGACCGTGTCCCCAGGGCCTGAACGACTCAGTGACCATCAGTCTACTGGGACTGACCATCTAATTTTGAACGTGTCACCACTATGTCACCATTATGTCACCACTATGTTACCACTATGTCACCACTATGTCACCACTATGTCACCACTATGTCCCCAGGGCCCGAGCGACTCAGTGACCATCAGTCTACTCGGTCTGACACTCTAATTTTGAACGTGTCACCACTATGTCACCACTATGTCACCACTATGTCACCACTATGTCACCACTACTAATCTCTAGCTCTGACCGTGTCCCCAGGGCCTGAACGACTCAGTGACCATCAGTCTACTGGGACTGACCATCTAATTTTGAACGTGTCACCACTATGTCACCATTATGTCACCACTATGTTACCACTATGTCACCACTATGTCACCACTATGTCACCACTATGTCCCCAGGGCCCGAGCGACTCAGTGACCATCAGTCTACTCGGTCTGACAATCTAATTTTGAACGTGTCACCACTATGTCACCACTATGTCACCACTATGTCACCACTATGTCACCACTATGTCACCACTATGTCCCCAGGGCCTGAACGACTCAGTGACCATCAGTCTACTGGGACTGACCATCTCTGACCTCTGCTCCCTACTGGCCATGGTCTGGCTGTCCATCTGCTTCAACCCCCTCGTGCGCTACTCGCCGGATATCTCCTTCAACTCCATCGATGTCCAGTACCTCACGGCGTGTGAGTAGTCTATTGTGCTATTCACAGGAGAAGTTGCTGTCAGGGGCGTGGCTAGGTCAGGTGTCACCAGGTGCATAGACTCAGGGTGTCACCCCTTCCAGCTCCAATATTTTTTATTATTTTAACACAACATACTATTGTTTTAAACTACATTTTACATTTTTTCATCGTGGTGTCACTTCAAAAATGGTGTCACGTGGTGCGGACCACCCCCGCCTAAAATAGCATTTCTCTGTTCTGATCTAGCTTCATATCTGCCTTATCCTCTATTCTAGATTAGCCTCACATCTGCCAATCATCTACCAATCATCTATTCTTCATTGGTCTTACATCTACCTTATCATCTACCTTATCATCTATTCTACACTGGCCTCACATCTACCTTATCATCTACCAATCATCTATTCCAGGCTGGCCTCACATATACCTTATCATCTAACTTATCATCTATTCCAGGCTGGCCTCACATATACCTTATCATCTACCTTATCATCTATTCCAGACTGGCCTCACATCTACCTTATCATCTACCTTATCATCTACCTTATCATCTATTCCAGGCTGGCCTCACATCTACCTTATCATCTACCTTATCATCTATTCCAGGCTGGCCTCACATCTACCTTATCATCTACCTTATCATCTACCTTATCATCTACCTTATCATCTATTCCAGGCTGGCCTCACATCTACCTTATCATCTATTCCAGGCTGCCCTCACATCTACCTTATCATCTACCTATCATCTATTCTACACTGGTCTCACACCTACCTTATCATCTATTCCAGGCTGGCCTCACATCTACCTTATCATCTACCTTATCATCTACCTTATCATCTACCTTATCATCTACCTTATCATCTATTCCAGGCTGGCCTCACATCTACCTATCATCTATTCTACACTGGCCTCACATCTACCTTATCATCTACCTATCATCTATTCTACACTGGTCTCACACCTACCTTATCATCTACCTTATCATCTATTCCAGGCTGGCCTCACATCTACCTTATCATCTACCTTATCATCTATTCCAGGCTGGCCTCACATCTACCTTATCATCTACCTTATCATCTATTCCAGGCTGGCCTCACATCTACCTATCATCTATTCTACACTGGTCTCACACCTACCTTATCATCTACCTATCATCTATTCCAGGCTGGCCTCACATCTACCTTATCATCTACCTTATCATCTACCTTATCATCTACCTTATCATCTATTCCAGGCTGGCCTCACATCTACCTTATCATCTACCTTATCATCTACCAATCATCTATTCCAGGCTGGCCTCACATCTACCTTATCATCTACCTTATCATCTACCTTATCATCTACCTTATCATCTATTCCAGGCTGGCCTCACATCTACCTTATCATCTACCTTATCATCTACCCTATCATCTATCCCAGGCTGGCCCCACATCTACCTTATCATCTACCTTATCATCTATTTCTACATCTATTTCAGGCTGGCCTCACATCTGTTTCGCCAGGATCACCAGCTGGATAACGGCCTACATCACGTTCGAGAGATGCCTGTGTATCGCCATGCCGCTCAAGGTCAAGCAGACCATCACCCCCAGGCGCACCGTCTACGTCATCACCTTCATCTACCTGACCGTGTTCCTCAGTGTCTCACCTGTCTACAAAGGCCTAGGTCTCGGCCCGTCATTTAACGTCAAACTCAACCGAACCATGTTTGCTCTTGTATACGCCAGCGATGGACAATACCTGTTGAGTATCTCAAACAGCATTGCCGTCATCGTCCAGGTCTCTTCGTTTGCTGTGGTCATTCTATGCACCGTCATCCTGACCAAAACACTGGCAGTCAAATCAAAATGGAGGGCAGAGTCCGGAAACGCTGCTGCCCTGAGCTCTTCAACAGAAAGAGATAGAAAAGTAATTCAAATGGTGACTTTAATATCCACCATCTTCATCGTCTGTTTTCTCCCCTGTATATTTCACCTCCTGCTTGAAATCTGCTACCCGGCATACAGCATCAGGGGACGTTACCGGAACAGTTACGTGGTGTGCTGGTCATGTATGAAGACCTTAGAAGCCGTCAATAGTTCCATTAGTATCTTTGTTTACTATAAAATGAGCTCGAAATATCGAGTCGTGTTCAGGGAGGCTTTGTTTAAACGCGAGCCCATTAAAAAGATCAGTAATTGAGTTCCGGGACTATCAGTATAAACAGATTAGAATTTTAGCACACTAGAACGTGGTTCGTAGCACGAGAGGTTTTTCAAAAATGCATTTCGTCTTGTGAAATATTACAGTTGAATCAGAAGTGAAAAATAATTTTAAAATTAAATTTTAAACATTTAATACTAGATATAAGATATAGGATATAGAATCCCCCCTCCCCTGGAATTAAAAAAAAAGATCCCATCTATTGAGAAGAAACAAGCTATGTTGGTCTTTTTCGACCTTAACCCGGCGTGGCGTTCATGTTTGGCTTATCACGTTAAATAGAACGAAACCCTGACTCAAAGAAATACATGCACACGAGGTAATTAAATTCAATTAATTTTAATTATACCATGCAGGTGGTAATTAAGAACAACCTCGTGAGTGAAGCACATCAATAAACAGCACGTTACAGACTTAGTTTCAGGACAAACGTCGGAAGATTTCATACAGTGGGGAGTGTACCGGGTTGTGTTAGTGGGAGAGGGGTGGTATTTGAGAAGTAGGACAGGGGCGGTATATTAGAAGTAGGATAGGGGTGGTATTTGAGAAGTAGGATAGGGGTGGTATATGAGAAATGGGATAGGGGTGGTATATGAGAAGTATTAGACGAAGGTTTATGAGAAATGGCAGAGGGGAGGTATATGATTAATATTCAGGTCGTTTATAAAATCTATTTTTAAATATTTTCTGTCGAAAGCTACCATAACCTACAAAATTATGTATGCGTAAAAGAAAACTGATTTTCAGGAATAAAGTAATCATTGAACATTATCATAAAAATATAAGTTTTTCTGACGAAACAATTCTTTCAGAGTTTGTGCAACGTTATTCACAACAATTATTTGCCGATTACTATTTAATTGTGGTAAAGTGCGAGCCTCCTACTTGTAATACTGCGTTATTTTCACCATTCATGTTCATTACTAGTGCACACAATAGCGGTATATGTCAATATTCGACCGTAGCTCTTAGCCCAGATATCATGCAAATGTTCATGGTGTTTCACCGACATTAGCTGAAGGATTTCAACAAAAAGTCGGGGTAATTTAATGTCTTGGCAAATTTGTTTTTCTATCCGTAAAAATGTGGAAATGGGATACATAAGAGAAGAACAAATAGTTTATTTTTTAAATAGTATTTTTTTTTACTGAAATGACACAAAAATCATTTTTATTTCAAATGGTATTATCGTTTATTGCAAGATTAATATTTGATTTTTGGTAACATTTAAAATGTAGCGGTATTTTCAGCAAATAAATTAGTCTTTACAAACTAAAATGTGTTGGTCTTTATGTTGTATGACTAAAATTTTGTGTCGTGTCAGTGTGTGTTTGGATTTTCGGATGGGTAGATGCTCGTCGCATGAATATATATATATATATATATATATATATATATATATATATATATATATATATATATATATATATATATATATATATATAATATATATATATATATAAATATAGAATATATATATAAATATAGAATATAAATATAGAATATATATATAGAATATATATAGAATATATACATATATATATATATATATATATATATATATAATATATGTAGAATATATATATATATATATATAGAGTAATATATATATATATATATATATATATATATATATATATATATATATATATATATATATATATATATATATATATATATATATATATATATATATATATATATATATATATATATATATATATATATATATATATATACAAACATTCAGCTTGAACCACTGCTCAAGGAATTGATCGGGCCATCGGATCTAGCTAGTTATCTCCATTCTTATTATTGATTGGTAAGTTTTTAATTAGATTTTAATATTTAACTTGTCTAATGAGATAAAGAAAATAGATGTACATGCATTTATATATATATATATATATATATATATATATATATATATATATATATATATATATATATATATATATATATATATATATATATATATATATATAATCTGTTTGAACTTTTTCAAACATGTAAAAATCCTATACATTTTAAAGAGGTCTTTTCTCCCTGCCTAATAATCTGGAGTCTGATGTTTACTATCATATTGTTGCACTGTTTAATATTTTTTAAATTCACAAAATTTTAAAGTCTGAATTAGTTATTATAATCGTATGTCGATTAATTTTATATTTTCACATTACTAACCGTATCTTTTTATTCCATGAGAGAAATAGGTAGTGGGAATCCAAGTGATACTTATCGTCCAATAGTACAGTGGAGGGGGGGGTGTTTGTGAGTTTAATAAAATTATACTCTAATGCGAGTCAAACAACATATTTTATTTAGACAAACTATAACACTCTGACCAGTCGTTAATTATTTGTCAATTAGTGTAAAATACGGTATACCCTATGTCAACTAGCCAGCCTTAAAGCATGCATAAATTACATCTAATTAACAAAAAAACTTGACGTTTTCATTCCTGGAGTTATCGATCGTGTCATCTAGCGCTAGACTAGGACGTGCTGAATGACGACAGGTGGAGGTTAGCTTTGTTGTTGTGGTCAGATTTACAGCCAGGCTAGGAAGGGTGGTGTTATGCTGGATTTGTTAGGAGCTTGAAACAACATATAAAGACAAGAGGTCGAGGGTCACGGTATTACACGGTAGTTTGTGAAAACACACACACACACACAAACACACACATACATACATATATATATATATATATATATATATATATATATATATATATATATATATATATATATATATATATATATATATATATATATATATATATATATGTGTGTGTGTGTGTTTGTATGTATAAACAACAAGGTTTATTAAAAAAATGTGTAAAGAGATGAAGGGATGCCAAATTAAAAACATGTATTACTTTGCAAATGTTTTTAAACAACAAAATATCTAAAATTGGGCTGCACTTAGTGCAAGACTTAATCATTGCTACCCTCCAAACAAAATGCTATGCGGCACTTTATATTTTAAGTATACCTTTTCTCGCCAGGCCGTTAAAATTTAACGTCTGATATTGCGAAATCTGCGGAAATAAATACACGTATTTAACACTTGGTCGGTTGTTCTGTTTAGATCCTATAAGGGCAAAGGATAAAATTATTTGTATTTTGTATTTTCTGGTTTAATGCATTTCCAATGATAAATTATATATATATATATATATATATATATATATATATATATATATATATATATACATATATATATACATATATAATAGCCTATATAAAGAAACATGGTCGACTATAGAAATGAAAATCTATAAAATAAAGCAAAAAAAATATATTAAAAGATATTTTGATAAAATCATTATATATTGCTTACAAGTATTCCTCATACTATGGTAGTATATAAAAACTATTTTTTTAAGTTACACATAAATATAGCTTCTACATAAAATAAACCTGGAGTAATCTCCCCTAAACTTTCTCGAATATTCTTATATAACACTACGGGGGATGGCAACTCGGATCATAGACAATATTTTAAAATATTTTTAATTACTTAAACTTTTTATAATAGAATGTGCATAATAGTGCGGGATATTAGTACTTTATAAATTCACATGAGTTTTTTTTTGAGAAATCGGAAATAGCGTAAATTACTACTTCCGGTAACGGAAATTACTCAAAATTTAACAGAAGGCAGAGAATTATATCTTTTACTTAAATTTGAAATTTCATTTATATATCTGAAATAGTACTCAAGTTATACGCTTGTGAAAAATTGAAAGTAGAAAAAGTTCCACTTCCGGCTTTCGGAAATAGCTGAAAAGTTGATACGGATCTACAAATTTGATATAATACTTATTTATGAAATTTCATCAACCTAGCTGTAACGGTACTCAAGTTATCGTGTTTACAGACACACAGACAGACACACACACAGACATTCGGACAAGATTGAAAAATTATGTTTTTCCGACACAGGGAGGTGTAAAACGTCGAGATTTGTAAAAATCTCGATTTTTGTTGCACGATTACAATACTTTCTCTATACGAAAAAGTAAAAAGCAGTCGCAAAAAAAAATAATAAATAAAAATGAAATAAACACCTAAAAACTGCAACAACTGAGAACCGACATGCGTTTCTTGTATCATTAAAAACATTTCAAAACTAAAGCGTCAATATTTTTCGAAAACATTGTAATTATATACTTTTCTAGATCCACGCCACCCATCCCCACTCTCTGTCTCACACCAACCCGCTCCAATCCTAAGACCCCCCCCCCCCCCTCCATACATGCAGAAAAAAACAACGAAAACATTTCTTGCAACTTATTTCCTGAGGTATTGTGCTCGATTATATCGCTGATCTGTCGATAACTATTTTCACAATTTGTGCATTATTTCTTCCATTACCAAAGCGTGAAAGTTCCATATACTTACAGGAATAACGTTATGTACAGGCGTACATTATCTCTGGGGTGAGTTTCAATTGTTCCCGCATGCTCTGGGCATCGATCGAATGGGACATATAGCAGTGGGCAAGACATTTTCATGTCAGTCTCAGTTTAAAAACAGCTCACTGTGAACTCATTGTGGTTACATTTGATTTCAGTGGCTTTAGTTGACAGACTTTCACGAACAGCTCAGTGTGTACTCATTGTGTACTCATTGTGTACTCAGTGTGTACTCATTGTAGTTACACTTGATTTCAGTGGCTTTACTTGAGAGACTTTCACGAACAGCTCAGGTTCGTATATTAGTAGATAGATTTAAAGATGTAAAAAAAAAATTATCAACATGTTTAACGTAATAAACCAAAATAAATTCTTCAATTTTTTTTCAAAACAAAATCATATTTATGGTGTCTTTTTTTTTTTCAAATAATTTATCTTTAATTTTTCTTTATAGAAAGTTAGATATTCTTAAACGATAACTTTTTTGTTAAAAAGTAAAGTTCCCATTCCAAACCTAACATTCTAAGGGGCAAATGAAGTAGAGTTCACCTGTTTCTGTGACCTCGGCATATGAAGGGTTAGTATGTCAGCACTATGCCCAGCCGCCTTTACTTTCCCTAACGTGAGTTTGGTAGGGGCTACCCACCATAGATGGACGGTCTAAATTTTTTTTTTTACGAAAAGGAATTTATATCTATTTGAATAATTTAGATGTGGCATTAAAAAAAACAACGAAGCCATAATTTATTTTAGTTGTTACTTTCTGCTATTAACAAACACGATCAAATTTCCAGCTAAGATACCAGACCCAGCAATGTCACTAAGTACCACAACGTCCGGTATTCAAGACATAATTGGCAGCGACGTCAGAAAATGGATGGAGATTGCCTTCTTCGTCATAGCATCAGGCGTGATATCTTTCCTTGGGTCGATAGCCAATGTCATGGTCATTGTCGTCTTCTTTAAACAGGTTTGATCTCATTGACTTAATCATTGACTTAATAATTGACTTAATAATTGACTTAATCATTGACTTAATCATTGACTTAATCATTGACTTAATCATTGACTTAATCATTGACTTAATCATTGACTTAATCATTGACTTAATCTCAGCTTAACAGCAAGGACACGCATCATTTCCCATACTTGGGTTAAGGGTGCTGTTTTGATGTATGAGCTTGAAATGAGAAACATGTTTCAAATATCACATTTTGTCTAAAAAAAATACTTATACTAAACAAGTCTAGAAAAAAACAACTTCACCAAATTAACTATACTTGTTCCAAAAAAAATTAACTTAGACATGTAAAATATACATGTCGCAAGTGTAATTATTATTATGTAACTTATTATGCTTGACTGGTTATTTTACCCGTGGAGTCCTTTATCACGCTTGGAAGCTAGAGTATAACAAAAAATACATCACCCATAGCTTAAATGGTAAACGGAAAAAAAGTCACAGGAAAAAAAAACACAGAAAAAAAGTCACAGTTTTTGCTAGGAAAAAAAGTCACAGAAAAAAAGTCACAGTGGAAAAATTTTATCGGAAAAAAAGTCACAGAAATAAAGTCACAGAAAAAAAGTCACAAAAATCTTTTTAGAAATATTTTTATTAATTTGTTAAGAATTGTAAATTTTGTATGTTTATTGTTGTGGGTTGTATTTTTTGATAGCATAAATTATTTATAGACGTTAAAAGCATTATGATTTATAACAATTGTAAGTAAAAATACTCTAAGATAATTTACACAACAATCTCAACTTTTGTTACGTACTTAGTTAAATACGCGGTAGAAAAGTTAGCTATAAAAGAAATTTAGGCACATTTTGCCGTAGGCTATTCTCTGGTCGGCCTCTCCTCAGTAGGCATTGTCCGAACATATTTTGTGTTGTTGACGTTATGCGTCAATGACAGCCTTTGAACCTTGTCGGCTTTCTGTTTTGATCCTAAGTTTTGTTATGTAATGACCGTGATAAATGTGGGCAGTAAAGGTGGTTGAACTAAACATAACTATTGTTGCCATGAGTTGAGGGCAGCAAGTCCGACGAACTTACCATTTCACGGTAATTTAATATTGGTATTTAAAAAAAAAACACGATGAAAAACGTGGACTTTGGAGCATTCTATTAAATGCTACTAATCTTAAGTTTAAAATAATTACAATCTACATACTTCATAATAAATATTTTTAGATGAATTATAAAAATTCCTATGCGTATACAGCCTACACACATTACATTACATTTAATTAATCCTAAGTTAATTTGCACTCTCTAAATATTTAATACATAAAAGTATTAACAAATATCATGCAAATATATATTTGTGACTTTTTTTCCTGTGACTTTTTTTCCTGTGACTTTTTTTCCTGTGACTTTTTTTCTGTTTTTTTTTCCTGTGTTTTTTTTCCCTGTGACTTTTTTCCTACAATCGCTTAAATACATACAGCTTGTGATCAAAGGCTAAACAATTGAATACAACTCTCATAGTTAAATCATCTGATTTGGCGATTAAAAGCTAAACAGTTGATCGAAAACACTAGAAAAATTAATAAATCATAACCGCTGAAAATGCGTAGACATTTAGGAAAATGTATTCTTAATATCTTTATTAGTTCAGTAATTTAGGAAAATGTATTCTTAATATTTTTATTAGTTCAGTAATTTAGGAAAATGTATTCTTAATATCTTTATTAGTTCAGTAATTGGAATGTTGACAAAGTGTCACTAAGGTTTTTACAGGTAGTCTTTAGTCTAATAAATGGTCTAATTTAAAGGTGTCGTCCTTATGTTATCAAAAGTTAATACGGTCTAATTAAAACAAAACCTAATTAAAGTTGTCTTTATGCTAACAAATGTTAACAGTCTAATTAAAGACGTCATCTTTATGCAAAATAAATAAATAAATAAATAAATAAATAAATAAATAAATAAATAAAAATAAAACAAAGGTTAACAAATTCTAATTAAAGTTGTCGTCTTTATGCTAACAAAGTTTAACAAAGTCTAATGAAAGTTGTTATTCCAGGGGTTCAGTGACTCTATCAACATCAGCCTCCTGGGTCTGGCTGTGGCTGACCTGGGGTCACTCCTGACCCTAGTCTGGATGAGCATCTGTTTCAACCCGCTGTTCCGCTACTCTGGTATATCCTTCGAGTCTATTGATATACAGTATATAACGGCAGGTAACCCATATATAACATAATAGGTGGATTGTATATAACATGCACTAATAGAAGATTTAAAATACGTTTGAAAACAAAATTTGATAGTTGATTCAGGAGAGTGTTGGGGACGGCTAGCGGTAGAGAGCTAGACTGCTAACCCGAAAGTCTCGAGTTCGAATCCGGGTTTAAGTCATTAGAGCGTACCTGAGTCCACCTAGTTCTGATGGGTACCTAATTAATGTTACGGAAAGTAAAAGCGGCTATGCATAGGCTGACCACACCCTTCCTTCATATGCCGAGGTGAAGAAACATATGAACTCTTCTTCCTCTGCTCAATAAATCACTAGATCTAATTCTAAAAAGGAATCTTTACTTTGTTTTCAGCAGAGTGAGCAAAAATAAAGAATAATTTTCATACGTGTAAGAATATAAATTAGGCCTATACTTTTAAAATTAATGAACTACCTGTTTCAATGACCTCGCCATGATAAGAGATAGTGTTATCAGCGTTAAGCCAAACCACCAATAATTTTCCTGAATTGAGTCACACACCCTGATAGGTAAAGGTATGGGCGTGCTAACTGATCGAACCCGAGAATTTAAGTTTATCAGCTGTGAACTCTACTTCTCGACCACGCTATCCCTTACGTGCTTTTTCTACTTACATTCAAAAGTTTTTTTACACAATATAAATCAAAAGAAAAATGACTTTTCCCTTTTGTTTTCAATAACTATCGGTCTCACACTTATATCTTCTGCTGTTACATCTGCAGGCTGGCCTCACGTCTGCTTCGCCAGGATAACCAGCTGGATCACAGCCTTCATCACCCTAGAGAGATGCCTCTGTATCGCCACGCCTCACAGGGTCAAACAGTTCCTCACGCCAAAGAGGACGCTCGTCATCATCCTTCTCATTTATCTCTTCCTCTTCCTCAGCGTGGCGCCCGTCTACTACGCCCTCCGCATCGGTCCACACTTTGACGACAGCAGAAACAAAACACTGGATGGGCTGGTATACGCAGACGACGGTACAGCCGTTGAAAACGTTTCTTTTGCGATCTCCGTCTTTGCGCAGCTGTCATCCTGCGCATGCGTCATTATTTGCACGGTGGTTCTAATTATAAACCTGACCCGGAAATCCCAATGGCGTAACACCAGTCTAGAAACATCATCAGCAAAGCCGACGATGAGCAACCGCGATAAGCGAGTTGTCCTGATGGTGGCATCCATTTCCTGTATCTTCATCGCGTGTTTCCTACCCAGCGCCATCAACCTGATACTGATGCTGCACTTTTCCCCCAACTACAGCATCGTGGGCCCGTACCAGAACAGTTTCCAGGTGTCGTGGTCCATCCTCAACACGCTGGAGGCCACCAACAGCTCCGTCAGCGTGCTGGTGTACTACAAGATGAGCAGCAAATTTAGGCTCGTCTTTAGGGAAACGTTTTGTATCACACGTTCAACTGGAACTTACAGACGTGGATAACCTGGACATATTTCAGATAATATATCCAGCATGCACCTACTTTTTCTTCAGAATCTAGAATCGTACTATTAAACTTAAAAAATGTTAAGATTTTGTACAAGATGTATGTATTTTAGCCATATTATGAATTCTACACAATTCCACTCTGGAAAGTTCCATACACGAGATATATGTGGAAATACACTACTCTCAAATGAAAGTTTGTTCTCTGCTAAATGCAAATCACTCTCTACAAAATTCCCTATTGAGAGTTGCGTTTCTCTCGCAGCTCGTTTTGCGCTAATCGATAATTTTAAAACCAGGGATAGACTACACACATTTCGTTTCCAGTTTTTCTATTTTCCAGTTTTTTAGCATTTTTTTCTCCCTTTTTCAATTCAACGCATAGAACTTGGTCACTCGGATGGACGAGATACCGACACGATACCTAGCAAACGATAGCTGGCACTGATACTAAATATAATATATTTTATTTACGTAATTCGTTGAATTTTCTTTGAAGTACATCTACATAAGATAGAAGAAAAAAACTGTGACTATTATTAGAGTTTGAAATATTATTTCAGCTGGAAATCCTATTTAACATAAACACTATTACAATCGTATTCTGATTTGTTGATTCTTTTAAACAAATGTTTAAATTATACATTTATGAAATCCGCCTCTTATTTTTTTCAAACTTCTTTTTGATTAAAAACAGTCGAAAAAAACATTCAAACGTATGTACAATTATTATAAACTCTGTCAAAACCGAAATCTATTAACACAGTGAAACTGTTGACTTGTTGTTAAAGGAGTTTTTTTTCTCACATCCTAGGACCATGACATAGTAAATACCAACTTTCTCGCGACTTAGGTCAACTTATTGTCAACTATAACTTGACGTAGCTGCCCTTAGAGGAAGGTGCACACGATGTTCTTGACCGCTCTGTCCAACAGCTGGACAGTTTGTCTGGGCCGCAGAACTTGACCAATTTCTTAACAAATAGATTGTCTTCAACAGCTGACACTGTTGTCATGATCGATGACCCTGAAACTTCGGCTACCACACAAGGTTTATTCCAAACAAGAGTTACTACCCTGTGATCAGAGCTAGCAGAAAACACGAGTTATTTCCCTGTGATCATAGCTGGCAGAAAACGCGAGTTATCGCCCTGTGATCATAGCTAGCATAAAACACGAGTTATTTCCCTGTGATCATAGCTAGCATAAAACACGAGTTATTTCCCTGTGATCATAGCTGGCAGAAAACACGAGTTATTTCCCTGTGATCATAGCTGGCAGAAAACACGAGTTATTTCCCTGTGATCATAGCTGGCAGAAAACACGAGTTATTTCCCTGAGATCATAGCTGGCAGAAAACACGAGTTATTTCCCTGTGATCATAGCTAGCAGAAAACGCGAGTTATCGCCCTGTGATCATAGCTAGCATAAAACACGAGTTATTTCCCTGTGATCATAGCTGGCAGAAAACACGAGTTATCACCCTGTGAGAAAAGCTAGCACAAAGTAAAAGCTAATTCCCTGTACATTTTGTTAAAATACTAAATTTTAATAGATCACATTTTTAGAAAAATGACATACTTGAATTTGAATAAAATAAAATATATTTGCAGTTTACAAAGTACATGAAATAAACGTAACAATCCGATACATGTAGCGATGATAAGTTTCAGCATATTTCCTGCGTCTTGTCTGGAACTCTAGAATTAGAAATTGACAGTTCGACCGTCTTTTGGCCATTATTTTCTTTTATATAGTCTTATCTTCGACCATGGGCGAATACACATTAGGTCAAGGAAATAGTGACAGCGTTCCTTCTTCCCCTTCCCTCTAACTTTAATTACTTCTAATTAGTATTGGATACTACGATATAAAATATCATATTTTAAACTAATTTTGGTAACAAAGAAAATCTTATAAAATATTAAACTCCTTCAATGAAGTATCAATTTGCTCTTAATGACACATTTTTTTTATCCAACGCAACCGTTTCTCATTGATGTAATAGAATAACCAATATCTAAACCAAATTACTTGTCGCCCCTGATTTCTCTCAAAGTTCTGACTTGATTGTGAATAAGCTCATCGATAATGTTTGATAAAATCAATGCAAATTACACACTTTGAATGTAAATGATAGTAACCATTGTAGTGAAGACAATAAAGAGACAGGACGGTAAGCGTTAAACACGTTAATCAGATAGACTGTTGACATTAGCCAATCCGTCTTTAAAGTGGTGTTTGCAAGTGTTAAGGGCATTCACACTTATTAATGGCCATGTAAATACAAGGCTAAAAAGTACGACGTCACTAAATCACCGAATTCGGATCTATTTTTAACATGTAAAGATTTTTCACCGCGTGTACATGATCAGTAGAACAGAGACAGTATCGGATGTACTTTAAAACCCTGCAGGATCAATGATGGAGGTTAAGTATGGTCAGTTATGAGCAGTGTTTGTTTCAGACTTTTTTCTCCCCGGGTGGGGGGGGGGGGGGCACTTGATATTTTCGGGAGGGCGGTAGACTTTCTTCAGGTGGGGGGGGGGGGGGCATACCGAAGAGATGCCTAGAATAAACTGGTTATGTGTTACCATTTTTTTTACTGCTTCGTCTAGTACTCTATTAATAGTTTATTGTTAGATAGAAACTTTTTTTTTAAATCTCTAAAATATTGGGGAATGAAATACTTATTAGGAATACCCCCCCCCCACACACACACAGCGCCATCTTCCGTATGCACCAGCCACCCTCCCGCCCCCCCCCCCCAGCGCCCTATTAAGTAAGTCAGCGCCTTCTGTAGGTATACCGCATAGTCACAACTCCCCCTTGAGTTATACAAAGGCGCGAGTCACTGCACCCACTACATGCATCAGCAGCACCTCTGCCCTCAGCATTACTGGACGTTAAATATCCCATAATAGCATGCGATTAACTTTGTATTGCATTTGATCAAGTTTGTCCTGATTTGCTAATTTCTTTCACGGGGAAATGTACATGTATTTTTAAAATAACTGAACTTATCATCTATACTGGTCAATGTGTGTCCTTTTGGCTAAAGTGTAATGTTAATTAACGTCATTTTAAATTAGTCATTCACTCAAAGGACGTGGCGGTTATCTATTCTATAACATTCATAACTATAACTTTTATAGCAATAACACTTTCATAGCAGTGAAACTCCTAGATTTAACAGTCATACTTCTAACACTTATATTTAAAACTTTCGTAAGTAAAAAAACTCGTAATTATAAAACTGGCAAATAAATCGCACGATAAAGAAGTCGCGCCATAAGGGGAGGGGGAGGGTATGGATGGATACAATTGACTAAATATTTTTTAGCGCAATTTCTATTCTGGAGAATTGCGTTTATTAACTCGTCTTTTCTGGGAATGAATGGATGGATGGATGTGTGTCCGCAGCTTTAAGTCGTATCTCCTCCTCAACGAAGCAATATCGAGGACTAGTTCCAAAAGCAATTATGTTAAGCAAGTTACGAGGATGAACATAGGCCATAAAAATTCCGGGTTTCTTTCATGGATTTCCTGGAAAAGCCAAAAAACCTCGAAAAAATGTAGTTTTTGGCCCATAACTCGGCAACCAGACCACTTAGCGACTTGAAACATGTACCAATTGATTCCTGCTATAATTTAGAACAATATTGCCGAAGAAAGTTTTCAAAAATATCCTTTCGTTTGGTCACAAAATTTTTTTTGAATTAATTAAAATTTGGACCGAATTAGTAGGCATTTTATGCAACCACACCACACGCGTCATCACGTTCAATAGCTGCGCCATCACGTTCAATGGCTGCGACGTCACGTTCGGTAGCTGGGCGCGCAATGGTTTTTAGTCATGTTACTCTATTGTAAATAAAACATGTAAAATACTGAAAAAAAATTAATAAAAAACGTTTTAATAACTAACCAATGGTTTTACTAACCCTGCTCTTGATTTACGCTACGACAGAGCTATTTTTAGATAACACAAGGAAATTGCGCTAAAATTGTCACTAGACTTTTTTTAATTACTTGTTTTTAAAACTGCTTTAAAAAGTGCTAATGTTATATTGTGTCATGCGCACTTTTTGTTTTTCTTGAAAACAATTTTTTTGTTTAAAAAGTTTTAAAAGATGGTAGACGCTATGTTTAAAACTAATTAGAAACCAATGACACATTTTTATATTCTCTCTGTAAACTTTATTTGAGGGGTAAAACTAGTACAAAATTAGAAAATAATTCTACTCTAATACCCTAAGCTATTATAAGATTAATTTATATTGTTTGAAGCAGGCGGGATGTATGCTGATGGTCTGAATGTAAAAATGGTGAAGACTTTTATGGTACAAGCTTCTCGCAGATATGGGGCGAGGTGACAGCACAATTCTGGTCGTTGAGGCCAAAGGTCAACCACGTGGTGGCCTCCACGCAATCCTCGCCGTTCGCGTTATCTGGCTGGGAGGGGAGGAAGGTGAGTGACATCAGGTTGGGGTCAATGACCGCCCCATCGTCCGCCCACACAAAAGTGGTCTCATGCACACGGTCACTCAAGCCGATCCACGTGGTTCCCGTCCCGCTGAGGATATGTGGCAGCAGAAGGAACTTGTTGGATGTTTTAGCTACAAACAGGTAGGAGTCAAGGCTCTGGCAGGTAGCCTCGGCCATGCTGTAGTTGAGGGGGGTGGGGAAGTAGGCGGCGTAGGCCTTCGTGTTGGTCAGGATATCGTAGTATATGCTACAAAAGAGAACAGAAACATTGACGGAGCTTGTAGAAAGCAGAAGTCGATTCCATAATAAATTATGTACTGTTAGATTTACTCTTTCAGGTTAAAGAATCATTTTGTCGTGAGGTGGGACAATTCATTAACACCACAGATCTCGAATAGAGACGTGATAATGGAATCTATAAAATAAAGAGAAACGGTCAAGGTGGAAATTGAAATATGTGATCTCGTTCGAAATGAGGCGAGATAATGAACCAAGTAGTAAATTCTAAA